GTAAGAAAGCGTCAGGTATTTAGGCGTAGTCGCCGCAATATTTTTTAGCAAATTCAGTTGTAATAACTCGACCGATACAAACGGCTGCTCTTGTGCAAACAAGAGAAATAAAATAACATTAACACCCAACCAAGTGTTTTAATAATTGCTCTTGTGCAAGCAAGAGAAATGAAATAACATTAAAACCCAACCAAGTGTTTTAATAAGTTATATACTGTGGTTTTTGGTAGTTGCACTGGTAGGTGACAACAAACTTTTCGTTTTTGTCATCAATTTACCTTGCAGTGCAGGGAGATATTAATATTGATTTTTATGAATATGTTTTTGACTTGATTTTATTTAAAGTAAATTTTCCATAAGTAACTTTAAAGAAACATCATCCGATAACGAGGATAAATGCACTGATCCGAAGAGTTTTTTTTATCAAATAAACTTCAACAAAACCAAAATTCGTAATAAACTGGAAACCACCACATTAAGTTGCATTTTTTATATAAAGAATTATTTAAAAGTTTGTTCGTGAGTGAGAGTTAAATGAGAACAAGTCTTTATGAAAATACTTTAAAAGTATGTTCACATTTAAATATTATTTCAATCAAAGCTCGTTTTTTAATTACCCCGTTTACACAGGCAAATCTCAGATTATTAGCCGTCAAATTTTTTGTGCTTGTTATTCTCACATCTTAAGAAAAGGTTATGTTTCGTCTCTGTGCCACCGTGATCACTTTTTTCTGCTATATAAAGCAATTTAAATATGTTTTAACTTAATATTTTATTAAAAATACCTTTACAAACCTCTTTTACTTGCTAGCGTCCATTTTTGTTTACTTTTACATTTGGCATTTTCCCTCTACTTCGCAAATATAATCGATAAAAGCCGACACCGAAAAGTTATCGGCTAAATCTGTGATTATTTTATAATTACAGATTAAGAAGGGACGAATTTTGTATGGCTAATCTCTTTTTCTAATTACAGATTAGGGAGTTAAGCTCGAAAATGAGGATAATCTACTTATATGTGAACCTAGTATAAAAGTTAAACTTACAAGATTAATTTAAAACGTATACATTCTATAATCGATTAAGCCTATTAATCGAAAGCCAGTTAATTAACGTGTGTCAAGTTAGCACTACACTTTTCGAAATTGGAAAAGTTAACTACGGCATTAATTGTAGTGTTTTTGTTGTAAATTTGTTGTGGAAAGAAAAAATTTGTAGCTCTCGTTTTTTAAGAAAAAATGGTATGTAGTGCTAACTTGACACCATACACCTAGCCGATAGAATTGAGATATTGAAAATGTTATAACGGCATTAACTGTAGCTTTTAACTTTAAAATTTGTTGTGGAAAGATAAAATTTGTAGCTCTCGTTTTTTAAGAAAAAATGGTATGTAGTGCTAACTTGACACCATACACCTAGTCGATAGAATTGTGATATCCAATATGTTACTATGCCATTAATTGTAGCTTTTAACTTTAAAATTTGTTGTGGAAAGAAAAAATTTGTAGCTTTCGATTCTCTGGAAAAAATTAAGTTGACCCTTTTTCGAACAAAATTTAGTATGTAGTGCTAACTTGACACCATGCACCATTGACGACAGAATTGAGATATTGAAAATGTTACAACGGCATTAATTGTAGCTTTTTGCTTTAAAATTTGTTGTGGAAAGAAAAAATTTGTAGCTTTCGTTTTTTAAGAAAAAATGGTGTGTAGTGCTAACTTCCATTGTCGATGGAATTGAGATATCGAGAAAGTTACTACGTAGCGCTTGAAGTGATATTTAATAAAAGTAGAAAATAATAGATTTCGATGGGAGTAAAATTTTTTTACATACTATTTTTTCTTAAAAAACGAAAGCTAAAAATTTTTTCAATTCTGTCGTCAATGGGGCATGGTGTCAAGTTAGCACTACATACTAAATTTTGTTCGAAAAAGGGTCAACTCAATTTTTTCCAGAAAAACGAAAGCTACAAATTTTTTCTTTCCACAACAAATTTTAAAGTTAAAAGCTACAATTAATGCCGTTATAACATTTTCGATATCTAAATTCAGTCGTCAATGGGGCATGGTGTCAAGTTAGCACTACATACTAAATTTTGTTCGAAAAAGGGTCAACTCAATTTTTTCCAGAAAAACGAAAGCTACAAATTTTTTCTTTCCACAACAAATTTTAAAGTTAAAAGCTACAATTAATGCCGTTATAACATTTTCGATATCTAAATTCAGTCGTCAATGGGGCATGGTGTCAAGTTAGCACTACATACCATTTTTTCTTAAAAAACGAGAGCTACACACTTTTTCTTTCCACAACAAATTTACAAGAAAAACACTACAATTAATGCCGTATTTAACTTTTTCAAATTCGAAAAGTGTAGTGCTAACTTGACACACGTAGTTAATTAATTAATTAAAGAATAATTATTTTTGATTTATCAAAATCATTAGTTTTCCGATTAATTACATATTGATTAATGAGAATCTAATTAATTTGATTAATCATAAAACTGATTTATCATAACCTGATTAATCAGAAATCTGAGTAATTGCTGTTATATTTTGTTAAACATACATACATACATATGTATGTATACAAATATATGGGTGCGAATTCTACATTTTAAGGAGCTACATACATATGCACATATTTACATCGTATATACTAATACTACGTACTTGTTTGGCATTTTATTTCTATTAATAAGAGCAATATTGAATGTGTACGAATGTACATATTTGTAAATACAAACATACATACACTGAGGAGCAAAACCGGAACAGTAATACATAATGTGAATTTTCTTGCAATATATTCGCAATATATGAAGACTTTTTTGTAATCTAATTTCGGAATTCACATTTTCAATGTTTATTTCATCAGAAGGCCTTAAAAACAAAAATTAACACAAGCAGATAAAGAAAAAAATTGCAAAAAAAACGTAGCAACTAGATTGTTCCAGTTTTGCACCCGACAGAAAATTTTACCATTTGCTTGTCTTTTAATAAGTTGGCCATAACCAATTTGAATATTTTAGCTTTTATGGTTATCTTGGGATACTTTCGCACAGGTTTTAGACGAAATCTGTTGAGAACGCGCACCGATTTTCCTCAACGCCATGTCCAAGGTCTTGCATGCGATTGGGCGAATTTTCGCAATTGAACAGTGGCATTTTCAAACAATTCCATAAGTTTTCTGTTGAATCAATTGTGGGCTTTACGCAGGTCACTCCATGATTATAAAAACTTGGGATTTATACATATTTGGCCCCAGTTTCGGAGGATATTTCTGATCATTGTCCTGTTAAAATTGATAAAAGGCTGCGAAAAATATCCTCAGAAATTGCCAAATTCTTTGAAAATGCTCATTTGTTGTCACTTTTCTTTTTACCGTCGATTTTACCACAGTTCTTACTCCCTAAGGCGTAACACGGCCCTACATCATTAAATGTACACCTACAAACCTAATAGCTTAAATATTTTGGGACGTTAGGCGTATCCCTGATGCAGGTGCACAGCACTTGAACCAATATTCCGACTTAAAACGTTTCATTTTATCCTCAGAGTTAACAAATTTAGGGCCGTGCCCTAATTAATAGTAAATTGTGGTGGAATAAAGTAGTCGTTTATGAAGAACTTGTAAATTCGCGCTTCAAAATAATACCAATCCAATGTTTTCTCTTGGTAAAAATGTGTTTCTGACTAAAAATTTTTCTGGATGTCAAAGCAGGCTTTCTCCTCTTTATCTTTGTGCTGCAATAACTTGTTCCCATGTCTTTCATAATGTCCAGTCACTTGCTTTGTGGTGATAAAACAGTAATTTTTGATTTGGAACCAAAGTTTATTGGCATTTAGAGACCCTCCAATTAGCCTAGCCTGGCAAAATGCAATTTTTTGTGGTCTCTCGATCTTGCAGACTGTGGTCCGCCCTTTATCGCTTGTTTAGATAACCATAAAACGGAAATTTGGCCGATATGATTTCATTCTTTACAGCGTGGCCTTTCTGACCGTTTTGCAAAATCTTTAAGTTCTTTTTGCTTGGTATGTGCACTTAATGCACTCACAGCGGAAATTCCACGCGCCTTGATTACAAAATTGCAGGAAATGAGCCAGAACTCCTCTTTGAATTATAAAATTCAGCAATTATTAAGAGGGTGCAAAACTGGAACAATCCAGTTGATTTTTGTTTGGTCATTTTTTTCTGAGTTTCCATATGCGAATCTTAAAATTTTTATGGTCAAACGATTAGTTAAACATCGGTAAGGCGAAATGCAAGCTTGAATTACTATAAAGTAAATAAACTGAAGAAGTACATTACCACAAACTTAACTTTCCGTTCTATTGTTCAAGTTTTGCTCTTCAGTGTATATACTTGACGTAACTTAGCTCTTTTCTCAGTGTAGTTATAAAAATATATGTATAACTAATTGTATGCTTTGTGAACTAGTCAATTAAAACTGTTATAAATTCACAAACTTGTTATTTTGGGTTTTTAAATAAAATGTGTTATGGTCTTGTATAACAAAAAAAAAATTATAAAAACCTTGAAGTTTTTTTTTTTTGTAAAAAAGTCTTCAGTAAAGTTATTTCTAGAGAAATGAGTTTATTTTCCTGTTTCAGTAACGTTTTTATGGGTTTTTGAAGATTTTATCATCACTTGGACGATTTTTAACAAAATTTTTTTGGCAACACTGTCGTACTGTATTAGAAGGAATTGAGTTCGTAAATAACAACAGTTACTATCTTGTATAAGGAAAAACCAAGGCGAATTTATACAAGGTGGTAGCTAAAATACAAAAACAACAAGCACATTATTTTGTATCACGGGTGTTATGTCAAATCTCAATTCGTCCCAAAGTTTCCATGTATTTTGTTTTTGCTTCTGATGGTCTAAAAGCAAAACAAAATACATGTAAGGCGAAGAAATCAGCTGATTGAACTACACCACCTTGTATGAATTTGCCTTGAGGAAAAATAAAACTCTATATACAGAATTGCAAAAGTACCTTCGACTCTAGCTCAAGCACTCTTTGCACCACCTTCTCCTTTCTTTCAATTTTGTGTGTCTCCAAACTCACCTCTATATCAAAATCGCGGTGTTGTTCCACGCCACCATCGTCGCCAGCACCACAGCCATTCACATCTCCCGCCTCACTGATAGCATCTGAACTACTCATAACAATACCACTACTAAGCATTTCGTCCTCTTCAATGTCCTCCTCAACAAACATATTATCGACAATGGTGTCGTCTAACTCTTGCTCTTCCAAATCGGACGTCTCCTCAATTTCTGATTGGCTATCTAATTCGATATCGGAGTCACCTGAGCTACCATGTTTCATTTCGCCTCGCTCTAATGCATCCAGATGTTCTGGATGTACCATAGCATTTCGAATACCCATCGGATCTTTACGCGACCATTTTTGCACCTCTTCTTCCATTTTTACAATGCGTTCTGGATTCATGGCCCAGAGACAGCCTTTACGTTGGTTTCCGTTTGTCGCGGGTTTTTCAATCTTCTCAAAGCACTTGTTAAGCGAGAGATTATGACGTACACTATTCTTCCAGCCACTCGGCGCTGTCTGGAAGTACGGGAAATGCTCGCACATAAAGCTATATATTTCAGATACAGGCAGTGACCCACTGCGCGAGTTCTTTAATGCCATTGCTATTAGGCATGAATACGAATATGCTGGTTTCGGGAACTCAGATTCTATAGGTGCAATTTTAATTCGTTGTTGCAGAGGCTTAACGGAAATTGTTGTGATAGTAGTGGTGCTGGCAGAGGATGGTGATGAAATAGCGGACCCATTGTTGATACTGATTGGTATGAGGCCAGCACTGAAACTACCATTAGTCGAACTAGTCGATGGTGAGGAGTGCGACGAGGATGAGGAAGATGACGGTGAACCTATTGCGTTGCTGCCATTCTGCATAAGCGGTGAATGCACCGATGCTATGCTCTTTGGTGTGAAACTAGAACTTTGCGCACTTCGGTTTACTAATTTTGTAACATGCTGAGCGCCTGCAACTAGGCTACCGTTTGCATTCACAACACTTATACTTTGCAACGGACTGGAGTCACGTTCCCTCTTAAGTATAATTGTGCCATTTGTAGTAGCAGTTTGGCTGTTATGCGCAGATTTTGCAGCAGATTGTTGTTTCAGCTTATTGTAGGCGATACTGTTGGCAAATGTTAGCCCACCAATACCGGGCGCCAGTTTGATGGTGTTCGTTGTGGTGCTATTCAGCATGCCATTTGCATTGAGCAAACCACTGCCGATATTATTTTTCGCTTTACTAACATTGCTAGTAGGGGCACTTCCATTAGAGGTAATGCTAACAGTTCCCCTCGCATTATTACTTGTACTACTGACTTTAATTTCATCAGTAGTTGCAGTAACTTTGCGCATTTCTGTAGCCAAATCTTTTTTGATTGTCTCCACCGCAGTTAATAAGTTCTTACGCTGCAGTGCTGAGTTCGTCGCCAGTGTGGCCGGCGCTGTAGTGGCCGCTGTCACCGTCGAGGAAATCGCCACTATCTGCTTTGGTATGTGTGAATAAAGCTGCTCGTTGCGCATCGCTCCGGCGCTAACTTTTAACTGGGCAGGAGAGAATGTTAAATGAGATTTAGTTTCGTTCACATTAGGCGAGGCGGGCGGCGGCGAATACACAGAGCCTTGTAAACTATTCGCATTTAAATTTATTTTTGGCGACCTATGCAGCAACGACGAAGATATCAGTGGCATTACTGAAATGGGATCCACACAAGCGCCTACATCAACGTAGTAGTCGTTCGACGACGACCATGATGGCCCTGAGCTATTCCCTAGCCAAGAGGAAAAGCCTGTACTCAGACCGCCATTAAGAACATGACTACTGTGTAAGGATGAAATTGCGTCAATGGCGTGATCATAAGAGGACGGCAAATCGTTGACCATAGAAGCAAGTTCATTGCTACCGCCAACTACATTGGAGATCTCGCTTCGTATATCAATATCGAGCATATCTTGCAACGAGTCTGATGTGTATAGGTCCAATGTAGGCCGCGACGTATCCTAGAAAGCAGAAAAATATAAACACATTACATTTAATTGGTTTAGATGTACTACATTTATAAATCTACATATATAACATAAATGTATGTATATATACATATACATATTCATAAGAGTGGTTCAAACAAAATTTTTTTTAGTAAATTCATAAACGCCTTGGGCAGTAAGAATGGGCCTAGTGCCCGAAAATATGCTCTCGAAAAGAGACTAGTAAAACTAAAACGTTGATACTGAACGACTTACGCGTTGTCATGGGTAGGAACTTGTTACCAGGGGGTTTCTGGTGTAGCTAATTTGAATTCTGAAGTCAGTTTTTCAAAAATCAAAATGGCGGATCCAAAATGGCGATCTATTTTTTTTTAATGGTTGGATTTGTTCAAAAACCGGCATTCGAGAGTTTTTGGGGTCGCCGATTACGAATCTGAAGTCAATTTTATTTTTTTTTTAAATGGCGGACCCAATATGGCTGTCAAATTAAAAAAAAAAAATACTTAAATTAAAACGATGATACTGAACGTTTTAAACATTGTCAAGGGTTGAAACTCGTTTTCAGTGGGTTTCTGGGGCTACGAATTTGATGTCAGATTTTCAAAATCAAAATGGCGGTTAAGAGTTTCAAACAAATCCAATCTTTTTTTTTAAGTTGGTCGCCATTTTGGATCCACCATTTTGAATTTTGAAAATCTGACATCAGATTCCTAATTAGCAACCCCAGAACCCCCTGGTAACAAGTTTCAACCCATGACAACGCGTAAGTCGTTCAGTATCAACGTTTTAACTTTACTAGATTATTTTCGAAAGCATATTTTCGTGCACTAGGCCCTTTCTGGAGTGCAATGGAGTATAGTCGTTGGGAGTGCAATGGGGTATAGTCGTTGCGCTGGGTATGCAGTTACAGTTACATGGCTATACTCAATCCCGACTCTTGCGTCCTCGTTCGCACACTCTGGGCAACGTGAGCAACCCACGTGNCTGGGTATGCAGTTACAGTTGCATGGCTATACTCAATCCCGACTCTTGCGTCCTCGTTCGCGCACTCTGGGCAACGTGAGCAACCCATGTGCGAGATGCGGTAACCAATCCGAGTGGAGCCTTGGGTCAAGGCAGAAAAAGAGGANCATGTGCGAGATGCGGTAACCAATCCGAGTGGAGCCTTGGGTCACGGCAGAAAGAGAGGGAGCTTCGGTGGGGCCACTCTGACTTATTCGGTTTAAGGGCTCACTGAAGTCTGCAGCGTCTGTTCACCAGTAGGTGCGGCTGCAAGCGGGTGTCTGCTTGGAGCAAGCGGCTCGCTATATAAACGTGTATTTGGTTGCGAAACCACCCCCGTCCCAGCAATGGGTTGTGCGCTGGGCTTGGGACCCGCCACGTAAAAACTACTTCCAGTGAAGAAGCAAGGTAAAGCCTCGGATGAGACCCCCCCTTATGATGACGACCACGGCAAACGTTTAAAGGACTACGATTTGAGGGCATGCACCTGGAATGTCCGGACCCTTAATGGGGAAGGTGCCTCTGCCCGGCTGGTTGATGTCCTCGTAAGGACAAAAGCTGACATCACCGCCATTCAAGAAATGCGTTGGACGGGGCAAGGCAAGCAATGTCTGGGGCCTTGCGACGTCTACTACAGCTGCCATGTAAAGGAGCGCAAATTCGGAGTTGGATTTGTGGTGGGAGACAGACTCCGTCGCCAAGTACTGTCGTTCACCCCCTTGGACGAGCGTCTAGCCACAATCCGCATCAAAGCGAGATTCTTCAACATCTCGCTCATCTGCGCCCATGCCCCGACGGAAGAGAAGGATGAGGCATCCAAGGATCTCTTCTATGAGCGCTTGGAGCGCACGTACGAGCGCTGCCCCCGTCATGATATCAAAATCGTGCTTGGCGACTTCAATGCCAGGGTGGGCAAAGAAGGGATCTTTGGAACCACCGTCGGAAAATTCAGCCTCCACGACGAAACGTCCGACAACGGATTGAGGCTGATCGACTTCGCCGGGGCCCGAAACATGGTAGTATGCAGTACTAGGTTCAAGCATAAAAATATCCATCAAGCTACGTGGCTGTCTCCGGACCGAAAAACGAGAACCAAATCGATCATGTTGTGATAGACGGAAGGCACGCTTCCACTGTTTTAGACGTACGCACACTCCGAGGCCCGAACATCGACTCGGACCACTATCTTGTTGCAGCCAAGATACGCACCTGCCTCTGTGCAGCAAAAAATGTGCGCCCAAATATGCAAGGAAAGCTTAACGTCGAAAAGCTGCAATCACAACAGACAGCCAGCGCTTTCGCTACTCGACTCTCACACCTACTCTCAGAGAGCACTCTTCAACAAACCGACATATGCGAGCAGTGGAACCACATTTCCCGCTCATTAAGTACCGCCAGCGAAGAAGTAGTCGGATTTCAGCGAGCCCGAAAGAACAACTGGTACGATGGGGATTGTCAGGAAGCTGCTGAGAAAAAAGATGCCGCCTACAGAGCCACGCTGCGATCGGGCGCAACGCGCGCTATGTGGGACCGCTATAGGGATCTGAAGAGGGAAGCGAGACGTATTTGCCGCAATAAGAGAGAGAGAGGCCGAAATACGTGAGTGCGAAGAGCTTGAAATGCTGGCCGACAGGAAGAATGCCCGAAAATTCTACCAGAGAGTTAGGCGACTTACGGAAGGTTTAAACAGGAACAATAATGGCGACCTAGTAACTGATGTCCAGAGCGTACTTAAATTATGGAGAGAACACTTTTCCGCCCTACTAAATGGTAACAGCACGGAAAGTTGTAGAGAAGAAGAACCCGAGCCTGCAGTCGATGATGACGGAGTCGACGTTCCACTGCCTGACTATGAAGCTTATGATGTGATATATTAAGTAAGGGATTTTGTTAAAAGTAAAATTTTATTGCGGATTCCGATAGAATACCTATCCAGAAATAATATTTGTATGACAAGATTTTTCTGTAAGGTAACAAGCCCCTAGAAATGGGCGTGGCAATCGCAGGACTAAAGTTAGCAAAACGCAGATATTATTGCGGATTTCGGCTGAATATCACTTCGTTAACAATATTTGTTCCACAAGCCGAAATCCGCAATAAAATCTGCTAGGGGCTTGTTACCTTACAGAAAAATCTTGTCATACAAATATAGGTATTCTATCGGAATCCGCAATAAAATTTTACTTTTAACAAAATCCCGATGTTTAACACCTTACTTAATATATCTCATAAGCTTTCGAAAATAAATTACAAAAAAATTTTGATTATCACAATAAACCATATCGTCATAAAGAAAAATATTTTAAAAATAGTTCTTGAAAACCCCCAATTTTTTTTAACCACGTTTTTTATAGAGAATTAAAGATGGATTACGATGGTATAATTTTTAATCCCTAATTTAATGGTCTTCACTATACAATCAACTTCAAAAAGGTCAGCTGTTATTAACTAAGTTAGCTTTAGGACAATCTTGACCATCTTATATATATAAATGTTTCTTTAGCTTTAAAACGACGTTAAGATAAAGTCTCTATGATGAGCTGAACTCGAGATATAACGATTTTAAGAAGTACATGATTAGTCAGAATCACGAAAAAATGCAAACTTTGACAATCATATCTCCGAAGAAAAAAAAATTAAAAAAAATTTCCTCGGAAACGTGTTAGCGTATTTCATGTATAGAACCCAAAAAAAAATTTAAGACAATCGAAAGTGTAACACCAAATTTGGTGTCCGATATGAAAAAGAATGTCTCATAAAGATTTTGACCCCCCAATTCTGTGCCCTTGATAAATAATCAACCTCGACTATTTGTCAATAAAATTACGCCTAAAACTATGCCGTTAAGACTTGTTTGTATTTGCTAAATTTGTTGTGCATTTTTAAAGTGCCTAAAATTAAATTTTTGCAGCATACTTTTGGCGCAAATTTACTGACACATACACAGCTTATTCTTGACTATAGTCAAGCTTGGCTTGACTAGCAAAAATGTCATGAGAGCGCTGGATAAAGTGAATTTTTCACAGATTACGAAAATATTTATAATTTTTGTTAAGCAGGGATTAGTAGTTCAGTCCTCTTTGAGATTGGTTTGTATGGAAATAAATTGATATTTGTTTCTATTTTAATGAAAGGTGCGCTAATTTCAAATATAAAAAATACAGAAAAATTGTTAGATTTATGTGTTTTTCGTGAAGTACGAAAGAAAGACCCTTGAGAAATTAAGGAAGGATACATTAAAATAAAATAATGTAAAAAAAAAATACAAGTGAATTGCAGCGGAATAGCTGCGCTTGATTGTAGTTGGCTTAGCAAAGTGAAATAGTGGAAAATAAGCAATAAGAATTAACAAGACAAACTTAGCACAGTGCGCAGGCAACTGGCTGAGTCAGTGGTGATCGTCGGTTCGAATCCTACTGAAAGAAGTCTGATGCGGAAATGTGGTGATTTCCGAAATAGCTATCACTTCTACCACTTTTTCAAATTATTGTTGCTTTTCCACATAAAGTTTTTACTTAAAACGGCCTCAAGCTCATAAAAATTGTTGAATATTTATTTTATAATTTTTAGTCCATTTATAAAAGCGTTGTATATTAAAAAGTGTTATTTTATTTTATGTACAAAATTTTGCAATAGATATTAAAATAATTCAACTTGCAATGAAAGAGAACAGAAGACTTGGCAAGCAAAATGTTGTTTGCTTACGTTTTGTATAAACCCTGTAGAGAAACCGCGGACTAGTGAATCAAATTTCTAGTTCCGTACTAGGTCTTTATCGCCAAAAAGGAACTAGTCCGATAGGAACTAGATCCCCACCAGTCGAAAATCGACGAAAAATGGTACTTTTAAAAGACAAATTTTTTCAGTTTTTTTGACTAGAAATCTATATCTAAAGTGACGAATTTAGAAATGGTTCGGAACTATAAAAAAGGGATGCAGAACGAACTAGATCTTATTTGTCGAATTTAGAACCAGTTCGGAACTATCGAATAAGGGATGCAGCGGGGGGC